TGGTTTATCTAATCAGCAAAAGCACAAAGTATGTCTATTATATGTGGCTAATAATAAACTGAATAAGCAAATTCCTAGAACTCCAGTTGGCACTGTTCACAATCCTAAAGTTACACACAGTTTAAGTGAAGCTTTTTGCTCAAGAGCTTGACATACGTCTGGAAAAAGACCTTTATCCCCACTGCCAACTAACCAGATAATACATATTGTTAGTCAATAAGGGAGAGGGAGCATGCATTTCACAAACAGATTACTTGGAAACTTGATGGACGAGTCCTTCCTGGGACAGGCACAGTAAGTGCTGCACTTAATATTTGCTTTGTCATCTTAGCAGTGGTAGAAATGGGCTCCCTCCATTGTCTCTGTCATCATTTAATCCACCCGTACTGATGTGAACTTTTGTTTTTCCAGACATTAAGACAGAAACATCTGGCTAGATGTAAATCAACACAATCAAAATGTAGGTCAACACAAGGCTTTCAAGAAGCCCTGTTCACAGTCTCTATTTTGCTATGCGAATAGCCATTCATAATGAACTGTACAGAAATAGCTTATAAGATTTAGATGAATTTTTTTGAAAACTCATGCCTGAAGTGAGACTTCTCCATGCTTAATCACCTACATAAATTACCTGCTTTCCAAAAGCAGCCACCACTCCTGTTTGCTTCTGAGGGAACTGTTGGCTGCCCAGGACTGATTAAATCAAAACACCTCCTCCATGCCTGCGAATTTTAGCTTGGAGACACAGCTTTGAACATCAGATTTCTGGTATATTTGTATAGCACTAGTATTAGCAGGACGGGCCACTGGATTCTACCCTTCCTTCTGACATTATCCAGCTTGTGTCATTAAAGAACTCAACTCATGCTTCAACGTACGAATAAGAAAAACCCTCATCTTATAATGGGCAGAACTAACACTTAGGGGCAGGAGTCACCTCTTCAGCTGTTGACCAAATCTCTGAGCTACTCACACCAGGCTTTCTTTACAGTCAGTGACAGAAATGGGCACTCTAAGGACGGGATTCATCCAATCAACTACATACTACTGTAGGAGGAGATCAACCACACTGCAGGCTCCACTGACAAAGCTGATTAGATCTCTGCTGACTCAAACGAGAGACTCGTGATCTGAAGATGTCTGCGTGTCAGCCACCGATTCCCAGGCATGAATCCTTCCCTTATTGTCCAGTTGAGACTGTGGTTTCATGATCAGCATCAGCTACTCTGGGCTGTTGCCAGTATACGGTCACACACTTTCCCCTGCCCTAATCACATGGTCCTGTGTGTGAGCTCTGGTGATCCTGCAGCCCTAGGTAAATAGGATTAACTTGCTGAACTGGCGGAAAACAAATGCTGAAGAAAAAGAATTCAGTTTTGGTTTCACTGGCAGGCAGAGCTGTTGCCCCTCATGGCATCACACGCTCTAATTGCCAGATCTGAGGCCTGGCTGGGGGCAGGAATTTCAGTTCTGAAGGGGAAATATGACTGCCCTTTTTGGCACCAGCTTTTAGTTGGACCGGCTTAAGTTGATCACAAAATGGCCTCCGCGGAAGCCAGTACTGAAAATGAATAGGTTCAGTTACATAAAGCTAACATGTTTATGCTTACTGTCGGGATATGATTTGACAAACATTAAATACAATTGATCCTTGAAAAGAAAAGAGGTGCTGAGACATAGCACAGACCTTCATGTCTCCACCCTTATGTGAAGGCCACGTTTGGTGCCTGGAGCAGTGTCCAGCAGGTCTCAGAGTCCGGATTGCAGCATGTTCCAGATCACATCATCAGCTCTGGTGAGAGGCAATGTCAAATGATCAGGACTGAAAAAATGTCACTTCCTGCTCTGGGCAAAGATGCTTTTCAAAAAGGTCTCAAGATGGTTATCTGCAGAAAATGTTTATAGTGGGTGAAAGCTTGCTTTTAGTAGATGGCATTGAGTATACGACATCATTTGCTAGAATGGCGTCTTTCTAAATATCTGCAGCTTAGAAAGGGCAGTCCTTGTCACGAGCTTGGCTGACGGCTGGTGAACAGCTGTCAACAGCACCTACAGACCTAAATGGAATCTAACGAAAACACTTCAAGCAGTAAAATAAAGGGTGGTCTTACACCATTTTTACACAGATATACCCATTTGCGTAATAAAGGGAAAATCCTCCATCTCAAGCTGATACAATCAATATCTAATATATAAATGGTAAAATGACGAGCATGCTAGAGTTCAGCCACTTGAAGGACTTTACATGAAAGAGACTCTGTGTCATCAAGACAGACAGATGCAGTTCTTGCCTGATGTGCGTTGCAGCAGCGAGAGCCGCAGCGACGTGTGGGAAGACGAGCTGGCTGGAAACACCCGGCGCACTCAGGCTGCCTGCTGAGGATGAGCCCCAGGCTGCCCTGCACATTGAACCGCTGGGTGCTGGGTCAGCGCGGGAGCCTGTCAACGCGGGCTGCTCCCCGTGCCCGACCATGCCCCACAAGTCCCGTGCCATCAGGCTGTTTGCCATGCAGCAGACGGGCCCGTCTCGGAGAGCAGAAACAGTGGGATGTGCCATACGCCATGCTCCTGTCTGCTCCAGCAACCACCCTGTAAAGCTCTGGTGGCTTTCCTGCCAATGTGCCCGGTGATCTTCCTCCTCTGAGCCAATCCTGTTCTCGTACTAAGTTCTTACATTGCCTAGTTCAGTCCCTGGGACTGAAATCAGATCTCTGCACAGTGTGCCCTTGATGTCACCGAGCTCCCAGGAGGCACGGAGAAGTACCAGTGTGGCCCCACTTCTCCAGGCAAAATGTGCCACCATAGGGCACTTCTTCTTCAGCAGCGTTACACAGAGGTGTTCTGCAGCCTCGCACGATTCACAGCTGCACTTGCTGAACTAGTTTTGAACTGACTTTTCAAATGCCAGAACGTGCATGTTTATGATTTCCCTACGGTATTAGCTGTTCCTGTAGCGACTTCTAGGGACTCACCTTGAAGGACCTGAGTGACCTTCTTCCAGCAAGAGACCTTTAGAAATCCTACACCAATGAAATCCAGCATCCCAGAGTGACAGTTGAGACTCCTGCCCCAAAATAACCAACTTTGCTGCCAGAACATGTTGTATGTTCTCCGGCAGGGCGTGGTACTGTAGGTAGGAGCAGCAGGCAGTTACCGAAAGCAGCACATCTCTCTCCATGTCTGTCCTCAGCAAATCCCCATCGATTCATGGATACCCATTGCCACAGGTCCACGAAAATTGGCTTAGATTAGCGCTAAAGATCTTGTGTTCTTTCTAAAGATCATAAAAGGCAGAGCTTAACAATATGACTTGTTAAAAATGCTGAAGGATAATTTATTTCAGTAATAGTGAAAAATGTTATTGACCAGTCAGCTGCAAAGAAATTCCTTCATTCCACGAATTCCATACTTACAGATTTTTCCCATTCTTGTTGAATCACTGTTACTATCTTTCCAGCAGAGAGCTGCACTGTGTGCAAAAGTGAGTAACACCACATTTTTTTTCAGACTTTTTTCCTTTACTGATTAATATGGTGCTGATTTTTCTAGTAGGATCCGCTGGAGCATTGGTTCAATAAGGTATTAGCTCTAACTAATACCTTGTAAGTATTAACTCCACAGCTGATTAGGGCAACTGTTTTGCCTGCCTACTTGTGACTTTTAAGAAAATACTAGTTGTACCATAAGCAGACAAAGCAGTAACCAAAGCAGCCAGGAAATGCTCTTAAGTCCACCAAAAAAAAAAAAAGCGTGTTCATTAAAAACCAGTTATAGATTGGCTGTGCAGTTAATTGTGCCAGAAGTTATGAAGCAGTTGCAGGGTGCCAAATGCCATTGGATCAAATATTCTTACTTGACAGCAAGAAAGCAAAAGAATACTCTAGAAAGGAAAGATCAAAAGTGGGCATAAAAAAGGCATATTTTTAAAACAGTTGTTTCTTTATTAGGGAGAAAAGGTTTTGGAAGGGAAAGAAGAGGGTTTTCTAGTCTGCTTTGCAAGGCTCAGAAGAAGTACAGCAGATGATATACTGACCCTCTCAACTTGTCTGGAGTTCTGGCACTGACTTCCACAGAGCCCAGATTTCACAGACACGGTAACCAGGCAGAAGAAGAAATCTCTTTATAGAGCAAGACGTTCTTCATTTCCTATCTTAATGCCACTTACAGCTATAGTCTCCCTTCACAGGTCACAAACAAAAGCATGTAAGCACAGGCTTAACTTGCCTCTGTCCAAAGGAGGCCTTTTAATTAACTGCAAACACGTCTAAGTCCTTGCCTTGATAAAGCTGCTTTCCTGAACGGGGATCTAGCAATGAATTGGACATAGAGCTATGTGAACAGTAATGCTCACTTTTCATTTGTATTGTTTTTCATTACAAGGAACAAACTTGTTTATGTAGGTAACTGGACGCTGAGTGCTTCTGCTGGCTTTGGTGTTGCTGACCAGGTTTAATTTGAAGAAATCTTGTAAGGACAGCTACCAGAGAGAGGCAGTGCCTGCAAGAAACACAGCCTAAAATGAACACTGACAGCCTTGAAGTGGAACAGACAGATGGAGTCATGTTTGCCAGAGTCCCACAGCCTTTATTAAAAGCAGACAGGTCTGATGACTGCACAGAAAGGGAACAAGTTAGGTGTTAAAAGGAGGCAGCGTGCTCTGTACTGTGTGACTGCATTAGCAGTTTATAGACAGGGTTTCACCTTTTCCAAGCGGAAAGGCACGGAGTGATGAAGAGACCTCCGTGGCTGAGCTCTTGCCGCTTGCAAACTTGCACAGAAATCACAGGGAAAAAGCAGTGAGTTTATTTATTCACCAAACATGCTGAGTAATAGTGAATCTCCCAACCAAAGTCCTGTTCTCCCCACGGCGCTCAGCCAACTTCAGAGAGCTCAGCAGCACCCAGTGCAAACCGTTTTACCTCACAGCAGGCGACAAGCAGCAGCTCTCTGTTTAGCCTTTCCCTATCTCGTCACCCGGTTCTGGGGCGTTAAGAAGCTGCATGCCGGAGATTCAGAGTTACCTCTCCCCTCAGAGCACAGAGCATTTACGGTAAGTAAACAGATTTGGAGATGGGTCCTTCCACATCTGTGGGCCGGACGCGGAGCCGAAAAAGAATTGGGTGAGTCACAAACAATGCCTGGAAGCCCAAAAAAAAAACCAACAAACCAACAAAACCCCCGGAGCCCTCCTTAGTTTGAAGACCTGGTATTCTCCTCAAAAGCATAAGCAAGAACAAAATGTTCTCTTGTAACACACCATTTATGGCTTCCTTAGGTACCTTTATCAGTCACCTTCCCATTAATCTTAAAATTTATAATGTTGCCAGATGGACAGCCCTAAATTTAGGAACTATCCCTGTTCCTCTTGGATGCTGATGTACGGTAATACAATAGAAAAGCCTGGGAACAGCAGCACGGAGCACACTGGTTTATGAGAGAGTCTGGGGAAGAGGCAGCGACGTGAACTCTTGCGTGGTCCAGTGGCTAGTGGCTGCTGGGTTCCATAGGACAAAACTATACACCAGCCCTGTTCATCAGGGAGCAGCAGAAGGCCTGAGGAATCATTATTACTGCCTGCCCAGGAAGAAACTATGCCTTCCCACTCTCCTGAGGTGTACGGTTGGTGTCTTGTGGCTTTTGGCTCCAAGAGGAATTCAGTACTCAGCCTGGTACAGTAAGAAGAAAAGCTGTCCCTGGACAAGGGCAGGATCTAGAACATGCCACCCTGTAAGGGGAAGACAGCAGCAAATTGATCAGTTGTGTGGTACCCTAGAGCAGATTAGGTGGTCTCGTGGTGAAGAAATGTTAAAAGGATCACAAATTGGTCTAGACATTGCTTACATACCAAGAAAGAAGCCAAAAAAGCCGTAACTCCCCTTCTGTAAGTCAGTCAAAGCTCTTGACACAGTTTATGTTCGACACCAATTAAGTTTTTATTCATAAGGGTGGTACTGATATTGATATCCTGTTTATTTCACTCAGGAGGGGACCGAGTAATTTTAATCAAAACTGTGACAACATCACAGGGGCAACCGACTCATGCTCAGTTTCAGTAACTCCTGAAGTTCAGCCAATGAGGGACACTAAACTCCTCACCCTCCCTTCCTTCCCAGCTAAATCCCACTGGATTAACACCAATCCCTGTAAAATGATAACCTGCCCCACCTGCAGGAACTGAAAAAGGTTTGAGCTGTATCTGTTTCTTTGACCCATATAACGTAAATTCGGGTAGTTCTTCCCTATGAACTCACGGCCTTGTGCGGGGGTGAGGAGGAGAGGACATGGGCATGTTCCGTTTCAGTACAATTGCTGGTCAGCTTCCTGATTATTTGCAACATCTTATTAAACGATATCATGGCATAAGGGAAGCCAAGTAGATGAGGAGAATGGTATAGCAATCTAATTACTGACTCTCTTATGATGGTCATTAAAGCATTCCATACGGGTTCCTACCGCTAAACGAAAAACATCGACGACCTAGATTTTGACATACGAACCGCCTCACAGAACGCAGGGCTCAGGGTCACAGCTCAGCACAGCAGTGCCTGCGGTGCCCACACTGCAAGGTAAAGAGCCAAACGCTGCAGCGTCAGCGGAGGAGAGGGGGTGGCACGCACAGATCAGAGCAACGCGGCAGACCGATGCGGCCTCGCTGGGACTCTGCTGGGCTCAGGGGAAGCCTGTCCTGAACTGCTGTCTCAGTCACGCTTGTTGGCAGCTCTTTTCTTGTGGAAGTGTGAACAACTTCTGCCATTTCACTACTGAAATGAGACAGGGTGTCCAGCTCCAGCTGTCAGGAACCTTTGCACAGACCCTGAATCACAATCCCTTTGGAATCTGCAAGCATAGCGACAAGCTTTCGCATTCTCGCTAGATCTTCCTTTTCGGGGCACCAGTTTTCTTACCACCCCTACACATTCACACACACCGTGCTACACCTCTACAGCTACAGCTGTCTGTTTCCTCCCTCTCCATTTTCTACTTGTGGAACATTCTTGGACACTTTTTCTGTCTTGCTGCCGTGTTTGTTGGCTCCCTGGAACACAGGCAAAGGAAGAGGTCAACTCTGCCTTTTTGTAATTTTTGTCTTTTTTTTTTTTTTTGTGATTACTTTTTTTTCTTTTTCTGGATGTCTCCAAATACTTGCTTTCCCTTTCACAGAATGGTCAGGGTTGGAAGGGACCTCTGTGGATCATCTCGTCCAACCCCCTGCCAAAGCAGGGTCACCTAGAGCAGCTTTCCTTTAACTAACAGTGGAATAAAACAGTATCTAGGGACTGACTTTTTAGCATTTATATATTTTTGTTATACTACAGCTTTTCTACTACAGCTTTTCAAAACTGCCTCAGGCAAAACTACTTTCTTCACCTCTCCAAATTTTGCAGCTGCTCGCCAGTTCTTGCCGCCTCGTCGCTCACCCTGCTGCCCTCAGTGGCACAGCCAGGAGAGGCACCACATCGCAGTCCCCGTGCCAGCAGGCCAAAGCTCGGGCAGACCCCGGGGCGAGCAG